CTGCGCACAGCCTACCTTGAGGCCAGCAGTACTTTGCGTGCGTTTGCTGTGCGTGGCTCTGTCAGCTACTCCCAGTCCTGGCTGTGCTCCTTTGCTCTTCCACTGTCAGGAACCAGGAACAGAGGCTATTTTCCTTTACACTCTTCCCCACGGGTGATAGTTGCAATTCTCTTCCTTGCCAGAATAATCTGAATAGTGGCTTTCTGATGAGATCTGTCCTGTGCTCAGCATTTGTTAAAAGTCTTTTATTGAGGCATTGCAGGGCAGTGTGATGGATGGTTCTGGGACGCACTTTCCATTGCAGTCTCCCCCTCTTCTAAACTAATGAAAATCCATTTATCACCAGCTATTTCCACAAATGCCCTAAATCTGTGGTTAGTGATGAGACAACCCTACTGTAGATGACATAGCAGCAAAGCACTAATTCCATCTGCCCCACCCTAGTGAGCATTTTAAAAAGACTTCAATCGTGTTTCAGAACAGCAGCACTCTAACACATCCTCACCATGCACTTTCCAACCCTCACCCCTTCCCTGTTTATGCTTCTCTTGCTTCGAAAGGAGAAAATCTTGTGTTCCAAAAGCCAGCGCTGAATGGCAAAGGCTACAGCTTTATGTGTGCTTCTGTCTCACAACAACAATTACTGTCAGCAACTAAATAACAGTGGCTTCCTTGCTGGAGGAGAAATTCTGGTGATGATTGCAGGTACCTTGAGAGACCTAATTCTTTTGTCAAATGAGAATCTTAATTATTCATAGAAAGCCTAGACAGAACATTAATAAAGGGAACATGGGGAAAATGGTTCACATGTGAGATCAGGATGAACAAATAAAAAAAAATCATCTTGCAATCTTCCCCTTGTTGCACAACACTGATGAACAGCAGCAAGGTGAGATTCTCTGCCCTGAATCCAGACCCAAGACAAGGTCCTTCTGAGCAGCTCAGCAAGAGGAAATGGAGCTTTGCTATTACAGGACATGCCAATAATAGAGCCTCAGAAAAAGGATGTGTCTAATGCAAACTCCATCTGACAGATGCCAATACGGCCTTCCAGGCTGAAGAGGAATGCAAATCCAGTCCAGACCTAGAGCTGACCTGGCAGAGCAGCAGACCACCAGCAGCTCTGCCACTGGCTTGCTCTGCAGACTCCCTCACATCTCCTGGCTTTGATTCCTCCTCCTCCACAAAGTAGATAATTGCCCTCCCTGAAATACTGTTGGACTTAAATTCCTTGTAGACTAGCATCTACAAGGTGCCTGGAGAATCACGAGAAGAAAAAGCTAACACAGGGCAGGCTGGTTAATACCCTAACTCTGTGAGTGATTTTAAACAAGAGGTAAAAATCTTTCTCTTCCCAAAAAGCCGCTGCAGAGCCCCCTGGTAATGCATGTTGTGTTGTTAGGCAGCCTCACATCAAAGTTATTTAACAGATTGTCTTTGTATTTCTGTGAGAGCACACTGAGGCAAGTTCTTGATGGAGGGAAAGCAACCAGGCACTTTGTTTTAAATCTCTAAAGGAACAAACTTGGGGGAATTTGAAATTAAATAGCACCATTAATGAAAAATAGGTGACCTAACCCTTTTGAGCGCCTGCATCTGGGCTGCAGAGATCAGCTGCTCTGTTACTCAGAGGAGAAGTTATTTTTAGTTCAGAAATGGTCTGTTTACACTTGACAGCACAGGCAAGCATACTCTGTGAGTGTAACACCCCCCACACACACATCCACACACTGGAAGACAATTTCTGTGTGCACTACAGAAGGCAATTAAATGTGTGCTTTGGTAAATGTCCACAAACACGTAATAAAGCCCCCAAAATCCAGGGAGGTTCACAGTCCCCTTTCCCAGCATAATTTATAATTATTATCGTCATTAGATTGTGGTGTGTAAAGGCAGTGTGTGCTCCGAGGGAAAAGAACATGAGCTACAGCACTGATCATCTCTGCACAAGGTCCTACCTCCTCAGCCAGCTTCCCTCCACCCTACCAAAAAAAAGCAGCAGCTAGAATAATGCTGGAAATGAGACAGTTGTAAGAGCAGCAACACTCAAGATACAGGAGACACGGCAGCTCCAGCAACAGGTAATCCAAAGGAGCAGCACTTACACGCCCCAGTCAGCTCACAGCTGAAGCTCCTGTTTTCCCAAGGGCTGGTAGAACAACAAGTTGAGAGAGGATGCTGTGTATTATCTCTGCCTCCTGTTTCCACCAATGCTGGGCTAACAGGGTTTCAAATCCCAGCAGGCAACAGACAGAAAACATTTCACTCTAGCTTTACTGTCTGGAGATATTAATGTCCAGACCTTGTTATGGGTAGATGAAAACAGTGTCTGAGCCTAGAGATTGGTGGCATGAGTGTCACCTCTCCTGTGGTCTCAACATGGGAGCAGCACAGCTTGTGACATTTGGGCTTGGGAATTCAAGAATGATACTGGGAAGTACTGAGCAGAGATGAAGGGATGGGGATGAGGCACCGCAACGGGTTAGTGCTGTGCTCACAGCTTCTCCGTGTGAGGCTGGAGCAGAGTCTTCTGCTCCTTGACGACTGCTCTCCCTCCCAGAGGTGACAGGAATCCAAAGCAAGTCATGCAGGGATGTGTTCCCAGGAGACAGAGCTGCTGCACGGAGTGAGAGATGGGTATGAATTAAACGGAGATGTCAAGGAGGTTTTCTTAGCACAGAAGAAAGAGAATCCTGGGTGTTCCTTCCCTCTGTCCTGTTTTTGGAGTCCTGATGCTGGTAGGGAGGAACTGAGGGGGTTAGTGTCAAGCATGTCATACCCAGAGTGAAGACTCATGTCCGGGCAGCTGCAGTCAAGCCCTGAATGAGGGTGTGCCACAGACAAAGAGGTAATCAGCAAAAAGTGGCAGGGAAGAGCTTTAAGGTGCAGCAGGGAGGGTGAATGTTCAACAGAGAAACTGCAAGGAGCTGGGAGGAGAGCCCTGGAATGGAGGAGGCAGCAAAGCTACGATGGAGCGCTGCAGGAACTCGGGATCAGTTCTGCCCTGCAAGTAAAGGGAAAATCCTGGGGCTTGAAGCACTGACCCAGGAGGATCCTGCCAGCAGCAGCACCCAGCTGGGGCCTGACTGCTGCATGGGCAAGGCTTGGGGACAGACAGCCCTGTCACCTCACTGTCTCCCTGCTGTCTCAAGCCAAATCTTTAATATCCAGCTGCCCAGCCAAGAAGCCCTGTGCTGTATTTCCTTCCAAACGCAGACCAGAGCCAGCAGTGAGGCCATCCAGAGCTCACCAGTTGCCATCTACTGGTTATCCTGGCAGCAGATCCCACCCATGACTGCACATACAAGCTGCCTGGGCGAAGGGCTTGGAGGGGTAAAGGCCTTTCCTGGTAGAAAAGCTTGTTAAGCAGCTTTTTAAGACTATCAAAACAGCTGAGTTTGTGTTTGCAAAGAGCATCCAAAGATAAAGCAGCAGCTGACAACAGTGCAGGCTGGACCAGGGAGATTTTGGCCAGCACGAAGGACCTGGGTGGAGGTACAGCCGTGTGAAATGCCCACAGAGATGGGGTGTGGGCACCAAGCACAGCCCCTGCGAGGGGAGAGGTGAAAATGGCTGCACCTGCAGCCAGCAGCAGCAAAGCTGGAACATGAGCTCCAATGCAGCACTGCTGTCTCAGCAGAGAGAAATCAAAAGCCCAGCCCAAAGATGACCCCAGACTATTTCATTGCAGCTGCCTTTTCTTCACTGTAGAGATCCAGAGCTTTCCTGCCTGATACAGCATCCATAGATGAAGGAGGTGCCAGCCCCTGAAGGTGACTGCAGTGTTACCAAACCTGTCCCCACTTTCCACATTTCCTCGTTCAGCAGAAGTGCTGGTGTGGAGGATTTATCAAATGCTGTGTATCTCAGCCAGGAGAATCCCAGCCTCTCCCTTCTCCTTGCAAAACTTCTGGGGAGCACTCCTCAGAGATGTTTGTTCCTCCCTAAGAGAGGCAGAGATGGGGGGAAACACTCCAGGAACAGATAAATATTTCCTTCAACAGCCAGTTTTGGCACGTGCCTACAGCCCCATCGGTGTAAAGGCCAGGCAGAATTGTCCCACAGGGTGAGGGACAGAGGAGCACATGCTTGCTGAGCCCCTCGGGTGCTGGTTTCACACCCCGAGGAGACAGGAGGATGAGGAGGGCTGGCACAGGTGCAGGAATGTCCCCTCGTGCCCACCCCAGCACATTCCCCACACCAGCATGGTGTTCAGCACCCGCACATGGTCCGGGTGAGAGACAGGCAGCGATGATCTCAGATGCTGAATTGAGAAGAGTTTCCATGGCAACCCAGCCAGGGAACCCCTCCAGAGCTGGGGAGCTGGGGCTGAAGGAGCGGGGAGAGCAGAGAGGCAGGAGGCACAGGCGAGAGGCGATGGGCACAGCGGGCGGAACGGGGCAGCCGTGCTCGGGCTGGTTCCTGCACAGCACAGACAGGGAAGCGTGTGAGCACCTGCTGGCAGGCAGAGCCAGGCAGGGGAGGGTGGGTTTACAGCCAAAACACAACCTAGGCTGTGATGAGAAGGAAGTCTTTGTATTCCTAGGGGATCCCAAAGGTTTATGACAATGCTTAGAAACTCCAGAATGGAATATCCTGCTTGGGGGCAGTACTGACAGCACGTACAGAAACATCACCCAAAGTCCTTTTGCCCTGGGCGAGATGTAAATTCCTAATCTGGGAATTTAAGGCATCTTTCTACATCCCAACTAGCACAGCAACCTCTTTTTCTACTTGGCCACTCCCCAAACTGGTTATCTGAAGCAAGAATATCTAGTCAGCACTACACAGAGCTCTTCTTTCCAGCACGTGTCCTACCCTCACAGAGAAGGCTGCTCAAGAAAGACAAGGGATGTATTAAAAGGAATTTTGAATCAAGCTTCAAGACAAAAGCCTTGATCAAACCCCACATGTCACACGTGGAAGGAGACAACCAGAGAAATCCCCACCAGGCTGAAGTAAAGACACTTCAGACAGCAGGTTAAGTGTCTGTGAGAGGGAGGGGAACAACTGACACTCAAAGGCCATATCAGCACCCTCCCCAGAAATGCAGGAGCAGCCTGTCCCACAGAGGATGTCTTTTTAATCTACAGCTAACAGGCTTGCTCCATAAATTAGCATGCACGAGGCTGTAGGAGTGTTTAGTATTCAGAAAGCATCAGTCTGATACAAACCTATTTACTGCTGCTGCAGCAGCTGCCACGAGTGACAGTGAGCTGTGCTACCAGGCAGGCTATCGAGTGCTTTTTTCCTTCCTGGAGGGCACCCAAGAGGAGAAAGTAAGGAATATTTTCAGGTATCTCTGAAACCCCAGGCACTACCACACCCATCTCACCATGGCCCTGCACCTCCCAGGCCCATGTCAGCTTCATTCCCAACCTGAAGGCACCAGAAGGTCCTGCTGCACGTGGCTGCAGGATTTTCCCTGAGGGAAACACCAGCTTTCTTCTGTGCACAGACCACACCTGAGTCAGGCAAAGGTATCACAGGGACTACACGCTCCCAGGAAAGGAGCTGAGCTCAGGTTGCATCAAGTGACAGAGGGATATAAAACCCACAAGAAGCTCAATCATTACCCAACTCATCTCTTGAAATAAAACTGATTTTATCTCCAAGCTGCTTGCCCACACGAGTACTGCTCGCTGCCTCTGAGATCCCACAACTCCCCCATGTGTTGGAGAATGTCAAACATCCAGTCACTCATTGAGATAAATATTTATTTGGGCACTGACCATAGAAATTATTTTTATAAGCCAGAGAACAGAAATAACAGATCTTCAGTCTCAAGTCATAGAAAGCTCTGACCATTAAAGAGGATCCACGGAGGATCAAATGTGACATCAGAACAGAGCTGGCCAAACTCTGGCCTGAGCTACTCTGGGCTTTTAAGCTCCGTAAGGAACCACAACGGTTTCTTAGTAAGAGCTCAGCCCCCTCCAGCCTAACCAACCTCCTGTCCCAAACATACGTGATACAAATCTACACGAGGAAGCCCAGAAAAATACAGAGCAGACCCAAATATAAACCACTCTGGTTACTCTTGGATGGTAGAAGAAACAAGGCACTACTGGGACTCTTCTGTGCCAGAAACGGTCTTTTAACTGATTATCTGGGAAAGCAGAGACCCCAGCAGTCCCAGTCTCCAAACCATGACTCTGCTGTCCCTAGGGATAGCAGCCCAAGGCTGGAGACTGAGCCAAGGCAGACAATCACAGGCAAGAGCATCACTTAAATGTATAATTAGAATTATCCCAAGAAGACCCCAGGACCAGGCACACAATACAACCTCCCCACGTGTTCCAGGAATTTTCCTCTCGGAAAACTCCGGGCTGTGGCACAGATAGGGGCTGAGCTCATTTTGTCACAGTATTTTTAGACTCTGGCTCAGGGGAGAATCTGTTGATATAAACAAGCGTGAGTGGCAAGGACCAGCCCTTGAAAGGGAAAGAAAGAAAGAGCAATGACTAAATGAAGGGGGAAGAGAGAGAGGATCTTTATTTCCCTTCACGTCACCAAGAATTCAGGTCTGGCTTGTCCTTTGCTGGAGGAAGGAACCACGCTCTTGAAAGACATTCTTCCAGGAGACTGACCCAGCCTGCCAGGAATGGCCCAAGCCTGCAGCATCATGCAGGAAGGAAAAATAACAGAGACAGTTTATCAAAGTGTCCCTTCTCCCCTCAGCCACCTTCCCCACACCCTCCAGCACTGATTTCAGGTCAGAAGTGTCCACATTACAAGGTGTTAGATCCCAGTATTCCCAAAGCAGCAGCAGCGTCAGGGCAGTCCGAGCTGAGCCAGAGGATGATGCTATTTCTCCTCCGTAGCACGCAGTTTGTTCCGCCGCTCCATCCTCTTCTGCAGTTTCCTCTTCAGCTGCAGCTGCTTTTTCTTCTGCAGTGTCTGCTGGATCTTCTCACGGCATTCCCTGTTTTTCTTCTTGATCTTGGCTAGCTCTGCCTTCCTTTTTGCCTCCAGATCTGGATCCTGCAATGGCAAATACCAGGACACTAGTGACATGCCTCGGGACAGTGCCAGCCCCTTTGCCTTTCTTAGACACCCACACTGCTTTCTAGCCTGGCTGCAAAAGTCTGCAATGCACTTTTTAATATCAGTCACCCTTTAAGATAAAACTTCACCACCCTGAAGGGGAGCGAGGCAGACACACCACAGCAGCGAGGGAGGAACTGTCATTCCTTCTCCACATCAATGGCATTACACCAGCTACTGATCGAGGTGGTTTATGCAGCAGCAATTCTCACCTTCCCTTCAAGGATCATTTGTTTCCGCTTATTTATTTCTTTCTTCTCATCAAAATCCATTCCCTCCAGTTCCTGTCAAAAGCAAAAATACAGCAAGGCAATGAGTAACCAAGCACTGAGTCTGACACGGAGGAAAGCAGTGCAGCTCTAAAGGGTCCACACATTGGGTAGCCTGCAGACCTTCCCCCCAAAGTACCAGCCTCAACACTCAGCAGCACAAAAATGTGCACTAATAGAGCAAATCCAGGGAAGATAACTAAAACCACCCTCCCCACACACAGCTCTGTGTGCTTCCACTAGAAAAAAGAACAACAGTTCTTATTTCTGTGCTCGAGAGCAAAGCTGCACATCCAGAGCTGTGTGTTAGACTGCAACAGATCTGGTTACACCCAGCTGCCCAACACCTCCAGTCCTCTGAGCAAAGGGGCCTCGTGTTTGCACACTTACTATTTCACATTCCCTCCTGGTGACGTTCACTTGGGTGAGGATGTCAAGCACAGACTGCTCCTCCACGGAGAACTCCTGCAGCTTCAGTTCTAAATCGGGGCGAGACATTTACAGACCGTGGTTGCTTACAAAATCCAGGGGCAGATTCTCAACTAGTAAAAAAACCCACTGTAGTTCCCCTGATTATCAGTGGAATTGTTGTCACACGCTATGATCACTCTGACTTCTTCACACTACAACAAAGGATTAAATCCTCCCCTCTGCCTACAATTCCCAGAGCACAAGGCGTTGCATTTATTAGGTCTACTAAAAAATGATGAAGTCTAACCCTATACAAAGCAAACCTGTTCTTTCTGTCCACATCAGCAAGGAAGAAGCTGGCTGCTTTAATAAAAAGATTACAGAGAAAGTTCAAAACACTGTTTCTCTTCCACTAGAAATAGCAGGAAAACAAACACGTTCACGCCTGCCATGCTCAAGAGCAGAATCAAAGCTGATGGAGAATCAAGTGCTCCTGCTCTTTTCCAAGCCTGAGCCAGGGAAGAGAAACCACTTTTCTGCTGATGGTACATTCTGCGCTGATGAAATCAGTGCTACAAGTACCACAAGCACAAAGGAACATCTGTGATCCCACATTTTAGCAGCATTAATGGTGCTCTACTTACTGATTTCCTCCTCAATAGCATGGACGAGATGGATGTCGTACTGCGTCACCAGTGTAATAGCCATTCCTTTCCGACCTGGATGATGAAAACACAGTGATAGATGAATCCTGACAAGCAAAGGGAGATGAAGCCCAACCCATGCCAAATTCCATCCATCCCCACGAGTCAGCCCTAGCACATTATGGTGACAGGGTGCTCAGAGGAGTCTTTATTTGCTCTGTGGAATCAGTTAACTAGTGGTGCGGATCAGACACAAGTCAGGGTGATCCTCATTGTGATCTTAAGGCAGGATGCCGAGCCGGTGATCTGAGGAGATGTGGTGCTGACTGCAAAGACTGCACTGCAGCTGCTGGGAAGCCTCCTCACACCAGTTCAGGGCTCAGCCCCAGCACTGGGATCCCAGTTTTAGCCAGTAAATAAATGGCACATGGTTTTCCCTGCTCACCTGCGCGGGCCGTCCGGCCAACACGGTGAATATAGATTTTCGGCAGGCCGGGAGTGTTGTGATTGATGACAACTTGTACTGTGGGGATGTCCAAACCTCTAGAATACAGGGAAGGAGAAGAGAAGTTAAACACTTTTTAGCATATGCAGTTTAAGTTCCTGCCTTCTGCTTTCTCCAAGAACCTCATATTCTCAGGAATATAGTCTTTATTGGCTTGGGCTGATTCTAGGCCAAACTCTCCCAAAAGGCAAGGTCAGCGTGCAGCCTGCCATTCCCTCCTAGACCCAGAAACATGCTAAGCCTCACAGAAATCATTCTGCTGCACACCTGCTGCAGCAAAACAAGCCAGGATCAGAGCTACATCAGACACAAGTGGGCTCCAAAACACAGCTCTGAGATGTTCTGTGATGGAAGTGAACAACCCTGTCCTACCCAAGTGGGGGGAATTTAAATCTCTCTTCTTGCTAAACCCAGCTGAATCTCCACAGTAGTTCTCGTGCTTAAAAAGCACCTTTGGCAAAAGAGACCACGTTTTTCCCTTACCTGGCAGCGACATCAGTGGCAATGAGAATCTTAAAGATGCTGGACTTGAACTTTGCTAAAGCTGCAAATCGTTGCCGCTGTAAAGAGAAGTGTCTGTCTGAGGGATGGAGCTGACATAAAATCATCGAATCCCAGACTGGTTCGGGTTGGAAGGGACCTTAAAGCTCGTCCAGTTCCAACCCCCCTGCCAGCAGCAGGGACACCTTCCACTAGACCAGGTTGCTCAAAGCCTCATCCAACCTGGCCGAGAACACTTCCAGGGAGGAGCAGCCACAGCTTCCTTGGGCAACCTGTTCCAGTGTCAACAATTGGACATTGACATCTGGCTCAGGGATGCAGCTGGAAACATCCATCTCCCAGGTTTGTCCCATCACTCACCTGTTTCATCATGGAATGCAGAGCTACAGAAGGAAAGTTGTATTTCCTGAGCATCATGTTCAAGACTTGGCAGTCCCTTGAGGAAAACAAAACAAAACAAAACAAAACACAGTAATTAGAATCTAAAAGGAATGTAGAGCTGATGGATCAGGACAGAGCTGGGGTTCCTCCATAAAGCAGCTTGACCTTCTGGCCTGCTATGTTTCTGGGTGACTCTTCAGCCCCAGATTTCTCCCAGGAAAAGGTGCTTCTTTACAAATTTCAGAACAAACTAAGGAAGCAAATACCATCCCAGCCTAACAGAGCGTGAATTCGGGATCTGAACTAGAAATGTAAAGGCACATCTACGTGAAGAGTGATCACAGGGAACAGTGTCACTCACTTGCAGGTTTTGGTGAAGATAATAATAGACCAGTCCTCGTGCTCATCCTGGAAGGTCTGGATTAAATGGACGAGGTAGGCATCCTTGATGGCTTCGGGTACAAGCAAGTAGCGCTGGTCCAGTTCATCCACCGTCCGCACCCTGTGGGGAGGGGAAGGCAAAGCACCAAGAAACACGGGTTTGGTAAGTGAAGATGGAACACGAGATGAAAGGCAGCAAGGAGACAAGATCACAGACAGGAAAGAGATTTCAGGCAGAGCAGAGAGGATGGAGACTCACTCAGCCACAGCCTCCCAGAAGAACGGTCTGTTGGCAGCCAGGCTCTTCAGCTCCTTCAGCGTGTCGGTCAGCGTGGCGCTGAACAGCAGCGTCTGTCTGCGAGCTGGAACAGCATCCAGAATCACCTCCAGGTCCGTGGTGAAATCAGCACAACCCTGCTCCAACAGCCGGTCAGCTTCATCTAAAATCTAACCACAGCCACAAATAAACACCATCATCTGCGCGTGTCCCGGCAAAACTCAGAACCTGGAAAGCATTTAAATCAAAACCTAAAAAATAAAACCAACTTGCTTTACCAAGAACTTTATTTTTTTAAGGCTGAAGGTGTTGGAGCTGCGGAGATGATCTGCCAACCTGCCGGGAGTAGCGATGACAACGTGGGGTTTCCGGGAGAGCTCCAGCGCCTGCGCCACCATGTCTGTGCCAAGAACCAGAGAGACGAGTTACAGGTGACTGAACAGGGACCCTCTGCTCTGGAACACGCCACGCTCCTGATTCCCACCCACCACCACCCCCCCGGGCGCTGGGTAACGGCTCCTCAGGGCAAAGAGAACAAATTGTGGGGAAAAAGAACCTCCCCAGGAGCTCTGCTCCTTCCCAGCCCCACCGTACCGGGGCTGGAGGGGGAGGATGGGGGCTCTGGCCCCCGTGCAGCAGCACTCACCCAGGCCGCCCACCACCACGCAGTCCTTCAGGCCGAGGGGCTTCCCCA